TTTTCTTTTGAATGTGTGTATGTGCGTATGTAATCACCTATTCAAAAACAGGGGCGCCCCCCTGGCTGGCTTAGTCAGTAGGCCATTCTGCTCTTGATCTCAGAGTTGTAAGTTTGAGCCCCATGCTGGGCCTAGAGATTACTTAAAAATAAAAAATCTTTGTTAAACAAAAAAGTAACAAGAATAAAGTGCTTTATATTTCAAAGAAAACATCTTCATTTGAGGGCTGGTAGTTTTTATTTATTGCTTTATAAAGTTCTTAATTTATTTAAGTAATCTCTGCACCCAATGTGGAGCTCAAACTCATAACCCTGAGGTCAAGAGTCACATGCTCCTCCAACTGAGCCAGATGGGTGCCCTGAGTGGTTTTTAAAAGCATATTCATTCATTCATTCATTCATTCAATATGTGGTGTTTATTATTTCCATGAATTTTTATATTTAACATTGCAATGAAGTCTTCCTAAAACAATATTACTTTGTGAATTTTATTTTTTTTAAATTTTTTAAAGATTTTATTTATTCATTTGAGAGAGAGAGAGAGAGCACAAGCAGGGAGAGTGGCAGGTAGAGAGGGAGAAGCAGACTCCCCAAGAAGCTAGGAGCCTGATGTGGGGCTCGATCCCAGGACTTGGAGATCATGACCTGATCTGAAGGCAGACGCTTAACCATCTGAGCCACCCAGGCATCCCTTAAAATTTTACATAAGTGGTATCATACTATTTGGATTCTTCCGTGCTTTGCTTTATGCCCCTCAACATTACATTTTTGGGGAGTTCATCTTTATTTACATACGTAGCTCTCATTTGCTCATTTTCACTTCTGTATATACCATCGCATGGGTGTATCCCCTTGTACTTACCCAGTCTTCTGCTGATGGACATTTAGGTCAGAGGTATGTCTTGCTGTTGTAGGCACTGCCACTATCAGCATTCTTGCATATCTCCTCATGCAATTTGTAGATTTTATATTTCCTATATTTGTAATGGACTGTTTCCCAAAATACCCAGTGAGGCACCCTTTTCTAAGAGCCGTCTCACCTATTGATTTTTTGATATATCTATGAACTACAGATATAATTAATGATAACTTTATTCTAATGCTCACAGACCTCAGGAAAGTGGGGAGTTACAGTCATTTGATTTATTTATTCAACACTTAGATATCTACTAAGCATTAATTGTGTGTCATACACTGAAAATACTGAAATGAACAAGACAGGCCTCTGCCCTCATGGAGGTCACATAAAGAACATTATCTCTGCTTTTCTCTACTGGCCTTCTTCTCTTACTGACTGTCCTAAAAAATCTTGATAGGATTTAGTACAGGGATACTATGGGCTCTGGGGTGAAGTGAGAAGTATGATTATGAGTTAGTTCTAGGTCCACAAGGTAGCTCCTATTGGCTTAGCTGACGTGGTTCTCTCTCAAATTTAATACCAGCTAAGTTAGTGGGAAAAACAAATTCCTCACAATACGTTCAAATTGATCCTATAGGAGAATCCATTGCTTATCTCAAGGTTACTTGGAAATAGGAGGGTATGTTTTTGTATCATACTGGAGGCAGAAGGCTACAGGGAGTCATTTTCCCTGGAACGTTAAAGTTTTTCGGTCATTCGAAATAGCTTTTAGCTTCATGCAACTTATTTCTCATTAAGAGCAAAAGTGCTCTTGTTACATTCAAGTGCTATCTACTCTCTAGATAATGTCTATGTTTTATTATATAGTTTTAAAAATTAAGTTTCTTGGGGCCCTTTGGTGGCACAGTCAAGTGTCAGGGTCATGGGATTGAGCCCCATGTCCGGGCTCTATGCTCACTGGGGAGTCTGCTTGAGAGTGTCTGTCCCCTCTTCCTCTGCCCAATCCCCCTGCACTCTCGCTCTCTCAAATAAATAAAGCTTTAAAAAATATTAAGTTTTTTAATGTAATTTGCACCCATCGTTTAAAAAGACAATAGTTTTAAGAAGCTTATCATGAAAAATAACACTCTAATCCACTCACTTTTAACTGTTTTCCCCAGGTATCTTCCTTTATATTTCTCTTTTCTTTTAAAAGATTATATTTATCCATTTGAGAGAGGGAGAGAGGGAGAGCACAGAAGGAGAGAGAGAGAGGGAGAAACAGACTCCCCACTGAATAGAGAACCTGACATGGGGCTTGATCCCAGGACACCCAAGACCATGACCCGAGCCAAAGGCAGACGCTTAACTGACTGAGCCACCAGATGCCCCTATATTTCTTTTCTTCAATAGTTTATTTATTATTTTTTAGTAATCTCTACACCCAACATGGGGCTCGAACTCACAATCCTGAGATCAAGAGTCATATGTTCTTCTGACTGAGCCAGCCAGGCATTCCTCTTCCCTCATATTCTTTTTTTTTGGGGGGGGGGGCGGGTATTTTATTTATTTGAGAGAGAGAGAGAGAGAGAGAGAGAGAGCATGAGAAGGGAGAGGTCAGAGGGTGAAGGAGACTCCCTGCCAAGCAGGGAGCCCGATGTGGGACTCGATCCCGGGACTCCAGGATCACGACCTGAGCCGATGGTAGTCACTACCAACTGAGCCACCCAGGCGCCCCCTTCCTTCATATTCTAAAGGACATGCCTATACTGACATTTCTTGATTCTTGCATTTAGATCTGTTGACTGCCTACCATGGAAGATAAGAATTAGTTCTCTTAATCCTGTTCCCACCCACTCCAACACAATAATTTCTCCTTCTTAGTTGTTCCAATATCTTCCTATCATAATTATTGATTCAACCAGTATTTAATATTTACATTATTAAGCCTACAGAAGTAGTACTTACCATTAAGCCATGTAAAGTTTTATGATTACATTTCATCTATAACTTCCCCCCCAAAAAAGTTATTAGTTGCCTTGTTTTCTCATTTTCTTGTGTCACAGGATATATATAGGGAACTATTTCAGTTTCAGTCTCAGATGATGCTTCCCCATTCCAAAGTAAAAGTCCCGCCTAGGCGAGACTCGTAAAAGAGGTGATTAAAAACTGGTTATAGCAGCTTTATTCGTAATTGCCAAAAAATGCAAGCAACCAAGAGAGCCTTCAGTGGGTGAAGGGTTAAATAAACTGTACTACATCCAGATAGTGGAATATAATTCAGCACTAAAGAGAAATGAGCTATCGAGCCACGAAAACACACGGAGGAAACTAAAAGGCACGTTACTAAGTGACAAAAGCCAATCTGAAAAGGCTACATACCATGCCATTCCTGCTATATGACATTCTACAAAAGGCCAAACGATGGAGACAATTAAAGATCAGTGGTCCCCAGGGGTTTAGGTGGAGGGATGAATGAATAGAGCACAGAGACTGCTCTACAGGATACTACAATGGTGGACAGATGTCATTATGCCTTTGTCCAAACCCATAAAATGTACACCGCCCTTTGAGTGATAATGACATGTCTGTGTAGGTTCATGGACAGTAACATACATGCCCAGGTGGAGGATGTTGATAGTGGAGTATGCATGTGTGGGGGCAGAGGTCTTTGAGAATTCTCTGTACCTTCTGCTCTATTCTAATTTTGCTGTGAACTTAAAACTGCCTGAAAAATAAAGTCTATTAAGTTAAAAAAATAAACTAAAAATAAATTAAATAAAATGATAAATAAGTAAATAAAATATAAATTAAAAATGTAAATAAAATTTAAAAATAAATTAAATTTTTAAAAATTAAAAAAAAAACAACAACCTGGTTTTGTTACTTTGGTCCCCTACCCATTCAAGAGCATGAAAGGACTGCTGAAATTTCCCAAGATCAAAGAAAATGTTTGGAGAGCATTGATGAGCTATGAGTACACTTCCACCCATTTGTGGGAATGAGACAAGGAAGGCATTTCGGTCGGACATCCCAAAGAGCTTGATGTGTCTCCTGAAGCTCAGGTGACACGGTAGGTGGTGTCTGACTTGTGTTTAAGAAGTATATGAAAGGGACGGTGGCTGGCTAGCTCCTCTGATAGGGCAGAAGGAAGCAGAGGCACTGTTTCAGGGTGCTAGACAGTATCCTGAGGACCAGACTGGGCCGTGCTAGGCAGACACTAGTTTGGATCTGGTCTAAGAGGTTTTTCCCAAGGAGAGAGGTGATCACAGTCTAAAGAGGCTGCTTGTCTGATGGCTGAGGCCAGAATTAAAAGTGGTCATAAAATCAAGGGGTCTTCTGGTTGAACAAGGTCCCTCCCACAGAGCAGATCAGAGCTCAGGGATCATTCCTCCAGAGGAATGTTGTGGAAGAATCATACAAGTCAAAAGCACCCCGGAAGAGGAAGAGTCCACTGTGAACTCCTGCCAAGGTCAGAGAGTGCCATACTGCCTCTTCTCTCCTGTCTACACAAGGCCTTCCCATCCAGGAGGAACCAGAGACAGTCTCCTGGTAGAGAATGATGCTGGAAGGGCTTGTGGGAAAGTAAAGAAGCCCAACAGGCCTCCCTTTCTTAGGTGACCATTCTAAAACAAGTCTATGTGGTAGAGGGAGAGATTATTTTATTTTAAATAAATTTGGGAGTTTTGACTCTTATTAGAGTGAATCAGATAGAACTGCCAATATTCAACCTTTTTTGACTCACACAAATGGCAACTTCATATGGTTCAGCTTAATGCAGGAGAGTGGACTTTTGAATTACTGAACTGAGGTTGTTTGGAGGTTTTAAATGACCAAGAGAATTTTATTACCTGAGAGTGACTAAAAAAGCCATGAGACTTGCCCTAGACTTCACTCAAGGCTATAGGGGAAGAACAATTTGAATATGCAAAGAATAAACTTTGCATCCAAGATAAACTTTTCTTCCTAGACCCCAGAGTTCCCACCTGTTCAACAAATTGGCTACACTTAGTTTTCTGTGTATTTACCACCAACTTATCCAGAAAGTCTCTGAAAGAAACTGAAGTTTCCTCTCAAGAGATTTGAACACATCAGGTAACCTTTCAATTGATTTTCAATTTTCGTTTCTTGGAGACATTCCACGACCCCCCCCCCCACCCTTGCAGCTCTCTGTTCTCCTCCTCCGTTTGGGACTGATTCCTCTACAGGCCTGCTTGGGCAGCTGTGGCGGCAACACTTTCTCTTGCATCTTTCCTGGGCTGCGTATCCTGTTTCTTGGATTCCCTGAGGTCCTGGTTCATGGTTTTCTCCTTCATGCTCCACTCACTTCCTGAGAAAGTGGCCTAGAAATTTTCAAGATCTTGCCTATCTGAAATGGTCTTTATTCTGTCTTCATGCTTCATGGATAATTTGGCTGGGTATAGAATTCTAGGTTAGAAATCATTGTCTTTTAGAACACAGTTTTTCTTTCAGATACCAGGGGGAGAATCTGTTTCTTAATACTTTACGCTTAGATGGGAAACCAACTTTTCTATTACTCCCCCACTTCCTCTGTGTCTCCTCCTCCTTTTTAAAAAAAATTTATTGTTTATTTATGGTAATTATTGTAAATATTTATTTATTGTTTTCTTTTTTATCTAAGTAATCTCTACATGTAACGTGGGGTTTGAACTCATGACCCCAAGATCAAGAGTCAAATGCTCTTCCAACTGAGCCAGCCAGGTGCTCTACCATCTTCAATCTTCTCTCTCTCCACTTTCTCTTTCTCGGTTTTTTTTTTTTTTTTTAAGATTTTATTTATTTATTTGACAGACAGAAATCACAAGTAGGCAGAGAAGCAGGCAGAGAGAGAGGAGGAAGCAGGCTCCCCACTGAGCAGAGAGCCCGATGAGGGGCTCGATCCCAGGACCCTGAGATCATGACCTGAGCTGAAGGCAGAGGCTTTAACCCACTGAGCCACCCAGGTTCCCCTTCTCTTTCTTCTTGATGGTGGTTGAGAAAAACTCTTTATCATTGGGTTTTCAAACTCCACAACTGTCAAAAAGCACAAAACAGTTTTTCTAACACATGGATGTCTTTACATATAGCAGAAAAGAAATTTGGCACTTACACTTCATGCTGTGTTTGAATTACTATATATAGTGAGAACACACATAATCAATTAAAAATTTGTTGTATCTTGATAAATGAGTTTTCTATCATTCCTAATACTAAAACTTGGCCACATAATTTTTTCTTTTTATTAAAATTGAGACGAAATTCACATAAAATTAACCATTTAACACTGAACAATTCAGTGGCATTTAGTACTTTCACAGAGTTGAGCTATCACTACCTACCTCTATCTAGTTCCAAAACATTTTCATTATTCCCAAAGGAAACTTTGTATTCATTAAGCAGTTGCTCCCCACTCTCCCTTCTCTCCCAAAACTCTGGCAGCCATCAATCTGCTTTCTGTTTCTATGGATTTCACATATTGTATGGAATCATACAACATGGGACCTTTGACTTCATCCACTTAACGTAATTTTTTATGTTAAGGTTCACCCATATTTGGCATGTATTAGTACTTTATTCCTTTTTATAGCCAAATAATGTTCCATTGTATGGCTATATCATAATTTGTTTATCCACTTATCTGTTTATGGCTGTCTGGGTTGTTTTCACCTTTGGTTATTGCAAACAGTGCTGCTATGAACATTCATGTACGAGGATTTGTTTTTGGGGGCACCTGGGTGGCTTAGTCGGTTAAGCGTCTGCCTTTGGCTCAGGTCATGATCCCAGGGTCGTGGGATTGAGCCCCACATTGGGTTCTTTGCTCGGTGGGAAGCCTGCTTCTCCCTCTCCCACTCTGCAAGCTTGTGTTCCCTCTCTCGCTGTCTCTCTCTCTCTGTCAAATAAATAAAATCTTTGAAAAAAAAAAAAGAATTTGTTTTTAAATTCTCTCAAAAAACCTATTTTCAGTTCTTTTGGGTATATATTTAGGGGTTGAATTACTCAGTCACATGGTTACTCTATGTTTATCATTTTTAGGAACTGTCAAGCTATCTTCCACAGCTGAACCGTTTTACATTCCCACTGGTGATGTACAAGTGTTCTAATTTCTCTACATCTTTGCCAACATTGTTATTTTCCTTTTTTAAGATTACAGCTACCCTAGTGAGTGTAAAATGGTATCTCATGATTTTTATTTGCATTTCCCTAATAACTATTGGTGTGAAGTGTCTTTTCATACAATGACTTTTTGGTCATTTGTGTATCTTCTTTGGAGAAATGTCTATTCAAGTCCTTTCCTCACTTTAAAATTGGTTTTTTTGTCTTTTAGTTTTGAATTGTAGGAGTTTCTGGATACTCCCCTTATCTTTTGAGGCTATCTGAATTTTCACTTTTGTAAAAATCTGGTAATATGAGTGTTACACCATGTGGGAAAGACCATTTGTTGTCTCAAGATATCCACTTTCTGATTTTTTTATTGCAATAGAACCCCAAATTTATTTTTAGGCTAATTACGTGACCATAAAAATGACTATTCTAGTCCCTCTGTTTCTCGGTATGACCACATTGTTAAATTGAAGATGTCTGTTACACATCTAAGTGGGGAATATTAGTTAAACATCTGGAAAATCAAGAATAGAGCTCAGGAGAGAGGTCATTCAGTCATGACCCTATTGTTCCCTCCCCACTGCCTTTATCCACCACATTTGAGCACCTGGCTCACATATTCTCTTCCACTCATTATCCTGGTGACCTCAACATTCATACACACAGCCAATCCAAGATCCTGTTCATTCAGCTGTAGGACCTTCTCATTTCTAGCGATCTTCTCTTCTATCCTACTCCAGTCATGCCTCCTTATGACCATATACCAGGTCTCGACATCAAAAATAAATATATCCAAAATATAATTCTATATTCTGGTCACAACCCTTCCAACCTCCATATTTCATGACTCACTAAGACTATTCTTCTAGCTTATCAGGACTCCAGTCTATTTAGCCATCTAGTTTCTCCCCTTCCATCAGCTTTCTCCATCTTTCATGCCTTTCTATACTCAGCAAACATTATAGTCCATCATTTCAAGAACACTCTTTCCAATACCATAAACTCTGATGACCATTTGCATTTTGATTGTACTTATCGATCAAAATTCCAGCTATCAGGGGCACCTGGGTGGCTCAGTGGGTTGAGGCCTCTGCCTTCGGCTCAGGTCATGATCCCAGGATCCTGGGATCCAGCCCCGCATTGGGCTCTCTGCTCAGCAGGGAGCCTGCTTCCTTTTCTCTCTCTCTCCGACTGCCTCTCTGCCTACTTGTGATCTCTGTCAAGTGAATAAATAAAATCTTAAAAAAAAAAAATTCCAGCTATCTGCTTTGTCAGTGTCTATATTGAAAAACTCAGGCCATCTTCCCAAAACAGAAACAATAACCCACCTACATCTGAACCAATCTTCTTCCTGTTGCCATAGGAGTGGTTGGTGTCTCTCCTATTGAAACCAATCCTTATCTCCTCCTCTCCTTCATATAAACCTTATTCTACCAATGATTCATTTCTTCTTCTGGATATTTAGGTATTAGCTCTCGACTAGATGCCCCCAATCTTTATTTAAACATTCCTAAGTCAGGGTGCCTACGTGGATCAGTTGGTTAAAATGTCTGCCTTTGGCTTAGGTCATGATCCTACCATGCTGGGATCGAGTCCTACATCAGGCTCCCTGCCTTGGGCTCCCTGCTTGGCAGGAAGTCTGCTTCTCTCTCTGCCCTGCCACCCCCACCACTCATGCTCTCTTTCTCACAAAAATAAGTAAAAGCTTTTAAAATAAATAAAATAAATAAATAAAAATTAAATATTCGTAAGTTTTTCTTATCTTAATAAAACAAAACCAAAACAAACAAATCTCTTAGTCTCATTGTGTCTCCAGCTCCAGCACTGTATTTTCCTTCCCTTCTCATAGCCAAACTTATTGAAAGGTTTGCCAATACTTTATTAAAACATGTTGCTAAATCCAGTAAGCATGTTCAGATCTCTTGTTGCTGGATCTTTCACTAGCATTTGACATGGCCCATCACTTCCTTCTAGAAATATTCTCCTTCCTGGGCATCTGGACACTACTCTCTTCTAGTTTCCATCCTGTTTCTCTCATCACTCCTTTCCTTCGTAAGGTCTCAAAATGACATAGAAGGAAGTGTTGTACAAACCTGAGCCCTGTAATTAGTGTAGATCATTAATATTTTCTTGTTAATCTTACAAAGAGGAAGGTATATGGAACAAAATTAGAAGGCAGGCTTGAAAAGGAAAGTGATGGTTTAACTGAAATGGTATGATATACATGTTATATTTTGTTTTAAATTTTCGCCAGAGTCTAACAGGGTTCTGCATGATATGTTTTTATTTAGGTATAATTAACATGCATTAATAGTGTTTTACCAATAAATATAAATCAAGTGTATTTTTTATGAAAAACAATCAATTTATAATACTTGTTCCGAGACTGTAAGTGTTGGAGATAGTATGGTAAAGTTGGTGTACCCACAGGAAGAAATGAGGACGAGGCTCTTCTTCAAGGGACTTTATTGTACTCACAGGTCTTACAGGGGGGATAACCATGCAAAGCCATAGAGGAAGCACCAAGTATTGATGTCACCTGGTGGCAGAAGAGAGGAGAGGGGAATGCCCAGATTTAGAATAGCTAGTCTGAATAATGTCAATGGGCTTTGGGCTATAGGGGTGCTCTCTAGTCCCCTGGTGCCTGGCTCTGGGATGATTTTGGGCAGGGGAAGCACTGGCTTGGTGAATTCCAGTTAGAGGACTATTGGAACTATAAACTAGGAATTGGTTGGCTTGTATAAGAAAGATGTGCTCCCAGCTGAGCCCTCTGCTGTCTGTCTCTAAGAACAGAACATCCCTGGGAGGAGTAGGCTCTCCCCTGACAAGCTTTTTAAGATGTCAAAACATTATAAAACATAGAAAATTTTAAAAAATGATTAATGCAACACCTTTCAGGGAACTGCATTACTCTTTCAGATATGGACCTAATATTTTCATATCAAACACGAGAAGGAAGGGTAATGCTTAGAAACAAGGCAGACAGATTGCATGAGGCAAGCATGTCACCTCCCAGCTGCAGCTGCTGCATGCCTAGATCAAAGACCATGGACACTATTACTTAGATTAAATGTCCTCTATACTTAAAGGAACAGCATTCCGCAAAGCAAACAAAGTCTACCAGTGAGGCAAAAGCTTTTGCAGGGTGTGAGCCGAAATTGCTTCTCAGAGGGACCAGCCGGCTTGACAAGTTTTTGTTTATAAACCCCAGGAGGATGCAACAGGAAGTAATTGCTAGTGG